TTAACAGTGCCAATTTTCCTTCTATCTCTGTTTTATTTTTTAATATAGTATTAATCAATTTGAAAATGACTTATCTATTCATTTCTTTTTTCCTCTGGTTTTTACCAGGATATATGCTCTATGAACTTTTTCTGTCTAGTTCACTTCTTATTTTTAGACATATACCATTGTGCAAAATCTAATTACCAAAGGTAAGTCAAAGACTATAAAGATTTTGGTGAATTATGTACAGGAGTGTGTGTCAGATATTATTGTTCTTTTACATAGATCATAGTTATACAGAGGTGCACACTTAATCATTTATGTATTGACTCATTTAGTCCTTCAAAACATTTGTAAGCCCCTATAAATTGTGGAGTTCTTTACAATCTCATTTGAAATAAATGGTACAAGTTTATAATCAAATCTTTACTCTTATTCTTTTAGTATTTTACAGACAAACATAAGAAATAGAGCTGTCTGATGTTATTGTTGCAGCAGAAAATTAGCAGTATCACAGTCTAACCAATAAGCTATTGCTGGCCAGCAAGAGAGATCCTAATAATAATTTGAGCCCCTCCCAAGTATATGCTGCCTTTATTTCCTTATAGGTTTATGCAGGAAAGCACTTGTTTGCCCTGTCAATCTCAAATTAAGTCATGGAGTTCATTTTGGTGAAGAAAAGATAAATAGAATGATATGTTCTCCTTCCAAGAGGAAAACTTAATAGATAGTGTGGTACAAGCTTCAATGGGCTCTCACCAAAAACTGAATTTTAGGTGAACATTTAATGGAAGATTTTTAAGGTAATATAAAATGACAAAATTTTAAAATAAAATTTCATATTATCACATAAAATAAGTTTAATGTGCTAATATATCCATATAACATTTTAAAATCTGATTTAATTTTTTTAAAATTTGTTTTAAAATGTTAACTTTTGCTTAAAGTACAAATACCATCAATCCCTGCACATGATTGCACTCATGCACACAGCCCATGCACATAATCTCCCTTAATTTCCATGACATTGGTAGATTTTTCTATATCTCAGTTTTGTAGTTTTTGCTGGAACTTCTAGTTTAAGCTCTCATGCTTAATGCTTCTGACCTATAAGTTTAATATTCAAAAGGAGTACTCATCCAAATTCTCATAGCATGTTCTTAACAAAGGTACTTCTGTTTTCCTTCCATTCCTCTATCACTCAAATATAATATGTTTAATTTGAAAACAGGAGCATGCTTGCAAATGCTGAATCAAGATCTTATTTCTGTTAATAATAATGTCCTATGGGATTTTCCATTTGTACCACATAGTAAGGTCAAGAAAACAGATAAAATTTTTCTGATTAATTTTTTCCCAGCTGTATTATTAAATGATGACAATAAAATCTGCACAATGGGCCACGGATGTTGAAAATGATTCAGAAAGCACTTGAAACTTTCTAGTGCAAAGTACACTTATTTCACAAAGCTTCTATATCCACTATACACAACTCATTGAAGTCTTTCAAATTTACAATATTCATTCTTCATAATAGACACATTGTGATATTAGTGCTGATAGAAATAATGTTAGTGCTTACCTAAATGAAGAATATATACACAGTGCCTTTCATCTGGAAGATGGAAATAACTTACTTTTACCACCTATTTCTTTTCCAAAGTAAACATTCAAAGTAAACATTCAAAAAATAGGTTCTATATATTTTACTTATACTTTATTCACTTCATCTCTATACACCTGATGATTTCTATAATATTCCCTAAGATCAAAGTAAACATAAGCAAACATAAGGTGTCCCTTTTCAAATTTTTTCATTAAATCAATAGTCAATTCTTCCCATTTCAACATTTTAATTCAATTTTTCTTCCTCTCTCTATTTACTACTCCAATATAAATCTTGCTCAAGCTTATTCTAAACATGATCCTAACTGTAGTCCCTGCCTTTTGTACGATCTCATTCACTAGTCTATGTATGATACAATATGATTAATCTATGTAAGATTTAATTTTACTCATGATTTAAGACTATATAATGAGTATAAGCTACCAAACCAAAGATTTTTCTATACTAGAATTAGTTGTCCTATGCCAAATATTTTCTCTATATACCTCTCTGAACAAAATCTGTCCAACTGTCTTAGGTCAAACACATACTATATTCTAATTTTATTTTATTCTACTATTTTCAGTCTGCCTTTGTATAGTGTATCATATACACTAATACTCCTTCATATATAGTGTTAAAGCATAAACAATCATTCCCCATGATCAACCAATTATACTGCCTTGTCTTGAAATTGTTCTTCATTTTATCAATATAATCTAGGTGCTTGGCAAAATTCAGTCATAATTATCAATGTATATGTTTATTTGTAAATACATTTGCAATTATTTCAATTACCTTGAACTTTTATAACAGTAAATATTTAATAAGGAATAAGTAATAGCTTACTAATAAAATGATAAATCTTTTTTAAACAAAGGAGAAACAAGTGATAACACTGTCAAAATATTCACATGATGACTAAAATGAAATTTATAGTAAATTTATCCAATATTCAATTTTACCAAAAAGTACATTTTTTATTGGTGATGTCTTAATTTGTGATAATTTGTGACAATAGCTATTAAGAAAATTTGAGGATAAAGTTGAATAATCTAATAAATAAGTCTCTGCTTTGGTAATCACATTTCTAAGATCCATTATTTTGTGATACTAATTGTTCCATACGTGTTTCCATGGTACCTAGTATATATTTCTCTGATAACACTTATTTTAAGAAAACAATGAGGACAATATTTTATTCTTTTCAGATAATTAATGTAATTATATGATAATTAATATATGGCTGATTTATTTAAAGTTACAATGACTGAGTAGGTGAGCAATAATAAAATTCCAAACTTTTCACTTTGTCATTACATAAGAAAACAGAGGTAAGGGCAACTAAGGTAAGTCATTCAATAAAATACTCTATTTCTTAAAGATAATAAACAAAAAGTCACATTCATTGTGCATCTCCATTACAGAGTTTAAAATATGTATGAAGTGATGAAGTATTCAGTTATGAAACTCAAATCCTTTATTATTAGAAACTACAGCCAAGTGTTTAACTGTTTTGTTTATTTGGTTATGTTCAGATAACTCACAAATAGTTTTGCTTGATTTCAATTCCTTAGATACCAAGGAAAGCAGACATTCAAATAACCTTTTTCTCTTTCCCGTTAAGCAACAAATGAAGCAAGTAATTGGGAGGCTAGTAGCTGTCTAAGGAGATTAAATAATTGCTTAGCTGAGCCTAAAAAGTATGACTTAAGGACATTAAGATTTTTGAGAAAACTTTTCTACACATTAATATCTTAACTTCATATGATACATTTGCTTTCTCCTTAATTATTTTTAAAGCAGTATTACCAAAATTTCAGCAATACATTTATTTTCTTAATAGCAACAATTTTTAGGAACACTGCATATGCCAATACTCAAATTCTGATATCATTTTCCTCTTCACATTTAAATCTGCACCAAGTAGTTTAATAGGATTTGGCTAATGTTGCCAGTGAGCTGACTCAGTGCTAACTTCAGTTTACCAATCAAACTGAGGTGTGGATTTAATAACACAGGAGGGAGTTTTTAATCTGACTTACTTTAAGAATAAGTTAATAGGCCCTTCCTGTTGGTGCAGCAGGTTAAAGCACAGCACTAAGGAGCTAAAGCCACTTCAGCATAAATTCAATCCCCACCCCAGAGGTGACCATATAGTGTGGCAGACCTCCTGACATACCCTCTGCTCCCCTCAGCACCCCTCAACACTGTGTTTTGTTGATCTGCCTGTTCTGCTCCCCACTCTGTCTCTGGTGAATCCTTTCTCAGTCCCTATACCTCTGGTCTGTAAACCAGTTCTGTATGCATAAATAAATAAATCTTTTTTTTAAAAAAAAAGAATACGTAATAAGGTGATAATGGCTTCTGAATTAGAAACAAAGCACTTATATTTATATTTTGTATAATATATATATTGCATAGTTAAGTACATGATAGCTTTTGAAAGGGGAGGTATTTTTCACTCTCTATTCTAGAGATATTTTATAGATGGAAAAATGACTTAGATATATAGGCTCAAAGTAAAAATAGAGTTTAAAATCATGGCACAGTAACATATATTGTTAATAATTCCTTGAAAGAAATGTAGCTCATAATCAGAGGCATTATACCAATCGTTAGAGAAGAAATTCCCTTTAACATATATTTTAGGTCACATTCTTAAATAATTTAAGCAACATTCAAGTTATAGTAAATAGTCTGTTGATTAAAAGTTCTAAAACTGTTTAGGAGAGAAAAAGGCAATATGCATTTATTATAGAAGTTTATTAGAATAATCACCATTATGTTGATATCATCACCTCAGAAAATATACTGTGTAACAGAAAACAATGAAAAATCCTATATTTAAAGTTTAAAAGTATCATCTATGGCAAGAAAGAATACTTGATTTCAATCGTGGCTTATTTGAAAAAAAAAAAAATTATTTTTCTCCATAACCTAGATCTTCTGCTACTATAGCAAAACATCATAATTTTTTTGTTTCTTATTTTAGCAAATTATTTCTATTCCTCATAAATATTAAACCAAATGAAAATATTCAATACATGTTTGAACATCAACATGAAAATATGTAAGATTTATAGCTAAGAAAACAAAAAATATATATGTAGCATAGCTAATTATACTATAGCAATTATGCCATAGAATTTCTACAACCTATCTGTTGATGACAGATTTTGAAAGGTTCAGGAAATTTTCATATGTCTTCTCTCTTAGTGGAAAAATCACAAACTATTTTTCAAGATTTTTAAGTACTTAGAATAGTTCTAAGCAGAGTGATATTATATTTTACATAGGAAAAATAATCTGGAATTCATACAAAATGATAAAAATTAATAGCAACAAATCACAGTAACAGTGTCCTTATGAAAGATCACAAAATTAAAAAAACACAGATTAGATTTCTTACCTGTCTAATACCCAATCGGTAGGCAACAATCCTATCTACTGCGTCAGGATTCATTTGTGTCCACTGTAGACTGTAGGAATAAACACGGTGCCTGTTCTGCCATACAGGATTGTATGTATCATAATAGAATTCTGGAGCATAGGCCTTTCCTATAAAAGGAAGAATGTGTTAATTCAAATGATAAAATATTCAAGTTCAACTTTTTTTTTTCCCCTTGCCTTTTAACTCACTTTCTGTTATATGTTCCATCAGTCATCCTTGCTTCTGAAATGTCATATGGTTGGAATCTAATCAAGTTTCTGGAAAATTTCAAAAACATATTCTAAAGGATTTCCTTGTGGATTGGATTAGCAGTGTAAGTGAAGAAACATCAAGGATGACTGCATGTTTTTTGGCCTAAATTATAAGGATGGTATTTCCATCAAATGCTGTGAAATGCTCTGAAAGGATTAAGTTTTGGGAAGATCAGGGGGTCATTTTTGAAAATGTGAGTAAATAGAAACATTAAGTGAAAATTTTATGGTGAAGGGTAAAACTGGCTTTTCTATGGTGAAATTATGTAGTATCTACATGTTGATTTACAATGATGCAACTTGGAACTAATGTGATTATGTTTTTATTTCAGTAAAAATACAAAAACAATTAAAATGAGTTTCTAAAAACTATAAATGAAGTAATAGCCGGTTAAGTGAGTAATATAAGCCTCATGCATTTTTGTTAGAGAATGTATTCTCTAATTCATACACATATATTCAGTATGTAGACTGAATTGAGGAGGTAAGAGTCTAATTTTTTTAGACAGGGGAAGGACATTGCTTTTGTTTATTACCTATAAAGGGTAAAAAGTCTTTGCTCTAAGCATCACTTTTTTAATAAAGTTAATGCATTCAATTACAAATAGTAGAAAATAAAGTCACAGCTAGAGGCAATTTAGTATAGGTGAGAAAAAACTCTCAAAAATGGACAAATGGACATTTCTAAGAGTTGAAATCTACTTCAAGAGAAAATCAGACAAAATTTTAACATCTATGATAGATGAATGCCAGTGACCATTGAAGGAATACATAGCTTTGAAACCTCCTACCAATTCTCTATGAATGTGGAATGGTCTCCCTCAATAAACTGATTTTTCCTTTTGTAGAGTACTCAATGTCTAACAGCCATTTACAGAGTTCACATGGGTTGTTGTCCACAAGATGACCATATAAACAGTTTTCTATTGTTTATTGTATTACTTAAAGATTTTAAGCATATGTATAGATTCCATTTGATATCCATATCATCTGCAGTCTAATCTTGGTATTTTAGTTGACTTTCAGGAAAGTAATTGGCTGCATGTAGTAAATGTAAACTGCCATAATTCTAGAACTGCTTGTTTATCTAAAAACATATTTCTATGACTGTTTTAAAACAGTTTGGTCCTGAAATTAATACAAAATCAACACCATCTTAAGAATATTATGAATTTGTTGATCCAGATCTATTTTAGAAGGAAACTAGACTACAGGTGGTGGCCATAAGGAAGGGCATACAGATGCTGAATTTTAATATCATACATCTGAAACCTATATAACATTATAAATCAATGTTACCTCAATAAATTTTCAAATAAAAGACAAGGCATATTTAAGAAATTAAAATCCATATTTGAGGTGGTAAAAAATTAAGCTTTCATCTAATGCTTATTTAAATATTCCAAGTTGATCAAATTTCACAATAATTTTTATGTCTAATTGCAGATCATGAAAAAGCCTTTGAGTACAATTTTTAAATTATTTTATGTGTATTGAGATATTTATATTACATATAAGCCACATGTCTATAACTGTTTATTAGATTAGAGAATAATTTAGACACAAACTATTCTTATGTCTTATTTAACAGACAAAAAAATTAGATACAGAACAGAAATCATGATGATATGCAATAATTGATACAAATAAACAAATATAACAGGTTCTATTTTTATTTTGAATTTTGATTAATGAAACTTAAAACTAGAGGAAAAAATTGAAGCTGACTGTTTCACATTAGAATTGACAAAAATAATTTCAGATAGTATGTGAATAATGATTAGTAATAAACACTGATGAGGAATATTTTTGAGTAAGTATATTTGCACACAGATAAGCTTGCTTATATCTCTTAAAATGCTTTTAGAAAACAAAAGCTCTTTTGCATAAAGTACAAAGGAAATATGTTTTCATTTGAGAAATGTATATTAGGATTAAAAATACACAAATTCATGTCTTATTTTAGAACCAGTCATATTTAACATTTTTGCATTCACTTTGTGAGATGTGCACAGTACACTAAGGAAATTCCCTTGTAATAATCTTAGGCTCTGACAACCAAACATGACATCTGCTGGTTGAACAGGGAAAGAATTCATAATATTTTTTTCCTCTTTTTTCTTACAAGCACCTTTTTCTTTTCCTCAGCAAGCCTGCCTAGAATATTTTCTGACTCTTCTATATTCTAGCTTCATTTTTATGTAACACTGTTCCTTCCAGTTAAATCTTTTTAAATGAACTCATCCAGAACTACAGTCCAAAATTAGGAAGCAAGTTAAAACTTTTCAACGGTGTATTTAGTGGTCTGAGAAAAGTAGCTACAGAGATATAGATTCATGTCAAAAATAAACACTGATGCTATGTGGACACCCTAATTTCAATCTTCAGAGAAAGAATGGACACAGCCACTAACTTGGTGGCCAATGATTCTACCCATCTCATCCTGGAGGAGGAATGAATAATTAACTTCTTGGGGGTCTTATTTTTGTTTTGATTCAAAGCCTTGTAAAAGCATCATGAAAGTGGGAACACTAGAAGTCCTTTGAAGATAAGCAGTTTCAAAGGAAATCTGTGAATTCAAAGGGAAGTTTTTTTTAAAACAGAATCAATGAATTCTCCTCTATTATTTACTTTTGCTAGTTACCTATACAATGTGTAATGATAAACTTTATCTCATTGAAAGTCATATAAAGGAATTAATACCAAATTAAAGGATTCTGCCTATTATCATTTTACTTGAAAGATGGTAAACTAATATGAAGAACTGGAAGATGTAATACCTAAAATAAACTATTCCTCTAAAAGGATGAATTATCTTAGAATTCAGGTGGATGTTACAGAATCAATAGAACTGAATATCAGATGATTCATTGGAGATTTTTTTGAATAGAGATTGGATTTATCAATATATATGCAGGAAACCACACATAACTGAAATGGCATAGCTGTACTTCAGTGTCTACCCCCAGTTACTGGATGATTAGAGATGATAAAAATTTGCAAGTTATATGTATCAATTTAAAACTCAACTCAGTCATTGAAGTGCAATGACACAGTGATTGAGACAGTAAAGTGTCTATTCAAGCTTCATCTTCCTATACAGAAACAGTTAATATGTATTCAATTGGCCAGTTATGACTCTGCAATATATCTTGTTTTACTCATCTCTTACTTGGGTTCATTTTCTTCTGGTAAAGTCAGAGCTGTGAATACCATTCTGAGCTAGACTGTTTGGCGACCAAAATTTAGCAATATAAAACCTCATAGAATGCTCTGGAGACCAGGCTTATGGATTGGCTAAGTAATAAAATTATCGACATTATTGTCAACCTTTTCAAAACATGAAGATCGCTACAGAAAGCCTTTACAGATACCGAGGCATAAGTTATAGTTACTTTATGTCACAATTTCTTTTGTAGGTTATGCTTATTTAAAATAAAATGGCTATACAAATAGCTTAAGTGCTTTCCATTTTTAAAATAAAAGTCAGTCACTAGAACATTATTTTCTGAAAGCAAATGATGAATTCACTTAGTCAACTCTTATAGTATGTGTAAAGCATTTTTATGAAGGAAATATAACAGTAGAAATGGGTCACATGCCTTAGAAGATTTGCAGCTCAATTTCTTTATAAAAGGAAACCTCACCAAAGTTTTCATGTTTGACTTTTCACTCTTGAATTTGCTGATTCATCCTTTAAATTTTCTATTGTTTGTAACTATTCTAGTTTGTCTAATAACATCTATTTTCACTCATCACTTTACATAAACAAAAGACATCTAGATCTGTGCTTGATAAATAATCAGTTAACATTTTTTTCTCATTGTGTTTACTTTGCCTACTTCTTAGTGACTCAGTGTGAAATCTCCTACAAGTTCAGTTTGATTATCACATATTTTGACCCCATTAAGTTACAAGGTTTTTAAAAAAATTATTCTGTATAGTCTATTTAAAATGTGTATCATAGCACAAGGCAGTTTAATAAGTATTTAAGTCCTAACAGCCAAAGACACATACAAAAAGGGAAAGTTAAAAAAATAAAACTTTCTAGGAGAGTGCCACAATAGCTTTTATTATTATTGTTTTGGGCATAGGATTATGAAGCAATTTTATAATTATACTCGACAAATATAAATAAGTTACCATTTACTTTGTTTAAACTGTAATGAAACAATATTTCAACACAATTTGAATCACCTTTGGCCATTTTTGGCATCAGTAGAAAACAAAATATTTACATAAAGTAGAGGTTACTTTACATATAAACTGTATATAGTTATCTTGGGCAATATAAAATAAATACTTATATATACCAGAGAATAATTCAACTTCAGGGAAGAACACTTTCACTATACAACCCGGAAAGTATCTTCCAGTTGATGCAAATTATGAATAATATGATCTTCCCCTTTTCAAAATAGGCTCAGATTAGAATCTGATCCCAAAGTTTTAAAAGGTAGTTTGGACTTGATGAAGCAATTAGCTTTCACATTTGACATAGTAAATAGGATATTGCTAGGGTATAACAAGAGTTTGGAAATAAAAAAAAATATAAATTCAATTGTTTAACCTGGAAATATCTAAGAAAACATTTTGCATATAAAAGGCACATATTCTAAAGAAAATAGCCTGGAAAATTCTGCTGGGAGTAGAGTTCTTTTGACTATTAGTAAGGAAAGACATATATGAAGAAAAAAAAAGAAAGAGTATTTTTTAAATTCTGTCCTTCAATTATCCTCTTCTGTACCACAGACCTTGCTGATGGAATTTTACCTGTCACTATACTATCAAATATTTGAGCACATGCCACATATCAGAATTATATGTCTGAGGTTGCTGTTTGAAAGTTATTTCAT